TAATGAACGCCTTTCTCATCGTTTACTCGATCAAGTACTGTGTGGTTTTTCTTTCGTCAATGCATACATTAATGGCTTACTTATTGCGAGAACAAATACGTCTGAAGACTTGTGATGCACAAAGACTGCATTCAAAACACTTCACTAATGTGGGATGATCATCAGCTTAGACGGATGTGAATTCGGGAAGACGCAATTAGAATTTTTCGAGTATTCGATCAATAGTCAGGAAGATATACCATTCCCTAATGGTGCAATAAACTGTTAAATGTTGTCCATTGCCCGACTTATTTAGGAAATTACGACGGTTTTCGGGCCTCATCGATTTTCACTGTCGTTTTATTCTTAGCTTCGCTACTGTTTTGCTGCCGTTAACTGGCTGTTTACGAGGATTTGGTCGTCCTTTTCACTTGCCAGCCGAAGCTTATGAATTACACGAAACTGTCAGGCACTTTTTGGTCGCAAAGACACCCCTAGTCAAACCTAAAACCAATGCTCTTTCCCCTGTGATGTCGGATGCCTCGAACGGTGTCAATGGGGGTGGTTCTACAACAACGGGTAGGCCATGAATGGAAGCTCCTTTCATTTCTTTCAAAATAACTGAATCATACTGATTGTTTCTACAGAGCCTTCTGACAGAGAGTTACTGGCTGTGCGTCGATGGCACAGCGGTTAGGACTCTCACCGACCATGCACATGGTCCGAGGTTCAATACCCTGCCGACGAACATCTGATATCTATGGTCGGCCTGCAAAATTTGGGCTACCGATATCACATGCTGAAAATTCCATACTTGTGCCGAAAATACTGTGTGGAATCAAACTGTAATCCAAAAAGGATAAATAAGTAAAAAATATTTAGCCATCAAAAAATTTGACACATGCTGAAAGGCACAGCCTTTACTGTCTTTGCGGATCGTAGAGCTCCTACTAAAGACAACTACTCGCCTCGTGAACAACGACATCTTGAATTTATAACCCAGTTTACTTCAGGTATTCAATACGTAAAAGTTAACAACATTGAAGTTGCAGAAGCTCTGTCATGTTCGCACATTAACAACATTGTATATCAGAATATCGATAACAAACATCACGCAACCCTACAAAGAAATAATGGTGAACTAAACAAGACTATCTATTCCAAAATGGCGCTCTTTGGAAACCTTGAAATCCACCGAAATTCCCTATGGCAGAATGAAAGTAGCCCGTTAAACTCCTACTGGCTCATATGGACTTATTGTCTCAGCGGTCATGAGACGAATTATTTTTGAGAAACTGCATAATCTGTTACATCTTGCAGTTAATACCATTACCGAACTGTTGAAAGAAGGATTTATATGGCCAAACATAAACAGCGATGCTGAGAAGTGGACGCAAACTTGCTTGTCTTGTCAAAGGGTCAAGATTGGTCGGTACGCCAAAGCGTCGTTTGTTCGTCTTCCTAGCCCTGACTCAAGATTCAGTCAAACATAAATGTATATCATCGGTCCACCGCCTCCTTCCAATGGTTTCAGTTACACTTTCGATTGCACTGGAAGATTCACTCATCATCCAGTTGCGGTTCCACTAGATGTATCCTCTGGAATAGATGCTAAAGCTCTGGCCGTAAACTGGGTGAAGAACTTTGGTAACGTCGCAGACAGAGGTGCACAATTCGAAAGCCGTCTTTTCCAAGAGTCCACCAAATTAATCTGTTTTAATTTTATTCATTTTTTTATTACAGCTTGATTCCACACCGTATTTTTGGTACAAGTATGGAATTTTCAGCGTGTGATATCGGTAGCCCGAATTTCGCAGGCCGACCATAGATATCAGATGTGCATCGGCAGGGGATAGAACCTCGGACCATATGCATGGTCGGCGAGAGTCCTGACCACTGTGCCACCGACGCTCAGATTAAATAAATACAAGCGATTTCGTATCACCCTATTTCTAATGAGATTGTCGAACGATCCCGCCGGCAACTTAAAACTGGGCTTTCTGCCTCTCTAACCAAAAATGACTGGTCCACCGAACTTCCACTAGCACCACAGGGTATGCCAGCAACTTTAAAGAAGGATATTGGATGCTTCGTTTCCGAGTTAGTTGCAAATGTGAGGCGGTGGCTGCTAGTAGTTCTAGATTTTCATGGACAATTCACAAGGCGTCTACTAGAGTCACCGGCGACCTGATGGAGGGGTAAGGACTAAATATTTGTATTCAGGTGGCTAACCATTGTCTTAAAAGGGACTCACATTTTAGGAATGGTTCGAAGGAAGGCAACACATTTAATTTTTGTGTTAATCAACTTATCATACAAGGAAAGACTAGACACTTTCAATATCTCCTCGCTGTCATACCGCAAGCAGAAAGGAAATCACATCAAAACATTTGAAATTTGAAATAACGTTCATGGTTCAGGTCTATTTACCCCCTTCCTTCCCACCAGGTCAGAACACCCATGAGGCCAAGGTAGGAGAGTTCAAGAACTATATCTCTGTGGAGTACTGGTTCTCATCTTGAGTCATGAACTGAAGTGGTATCAATGCCCTCAATTGATTCGTTCAAGAAGGGTTTGGACAAGTGCAGAAGTTTATTGGAAGAGCATTATTATAGGCTTCAAGCCTTCTGTTTCCGGTGAGAAAATCTAAATCTGGATTATGGGACCGACTTCATCCAGATTGATGAACCGGCTGCTATATCTAGCCCTGAGGAACAGTAATTTTGCGAAATACCGACATTTTCGTGAAGAGGCAGATTTACATTGGGCATTCTGTCAAATATTTTTACCCATATTTTCATTTTAACTTATTTAGCTGCCTCAGAACTATTAATACCGTTATTCGACAGAATCGCTATGGTTTAGTTTTGCAGAAAGATTACGGGATTGTTCTTCCTTAATTGCAAAATATAAATTTCTAACAGTTGTGCTTTCTCACAGTATAATTTCGTCCTATCAATGTCCACCACAGAAGAATACCGACTATTGCTCAGATAGCGATGACGTGACTAGCGTCATTGACAAAACAGCACATGTCCCAGATGCGACCTTGCCAATAAGTGAGTGCTCTACAGCACAGAAGAACACCCACCATATTACAGACACCCAGGTCGCCCCCACGATACTGGATGAGCCCTCCAGTGACAGTAATGGAAAGACTGCCGTGAAGAAGAGGCGTACTAGGGGTCGAAAACCTGCAGCCCCAGTCGCCCAGGGACTGGCGGAACAAGCCTCATCCACACCGGTGAGCAGCAGACAGACGAACCCCACTAAGATTAGCGAGGAGGACGCCAATGAATGGCGCACCGTAGTCTCTCGCAAAAAGCGAGATAAGGATAACACTTCGGCCACACCGCCCAAGAAGGATAGAAACACACTTACGCCTCAGGGCAAGAAAGTAACGGAAAGCAAACCCGATCTCTCTGATAGGTCTCTCATTCTCCACAAAGTGGAGGAGTCACTGGCTCTCGACCCTAAGACCAGATTCGAGCATGACCTTAACTTGGTCAAGCCCCTTTTAGACAAGCTACTGCCACAAACAGTATCAGGCATTACTATACACAGCGTATACAGAATAGGTCAAAAGCCTGACCCTACAGTAAGTGAACCTGTACGTCTCCTCAAAGTCGTACTAAACTCTAAAGCGGAGAGGGACGCTATCCTAAGCAACTCTCATATTCTCAAAGGATCAGGGATATATGTCCGCGCTGACTTAAGCCTGGCAGATCGTGTCAAAAGACAGGCTGCGGCACTAGAATTAAGTGAGCGACGCCGGAACGGTGAAAAGAACCTTAAGATTAAGGGTTTTCGGGTTGTCCGAGTTCGCAGTTTAATGATCCCGAAACCTCTGTGGGTGGGCCGGGGAAGCACCAATCTGAATTAACAGTCTGCTACACAAACGCCCGCAGCCTGTTAAATAAAAGGACTGAGCTGGCAAACATGATAGAAACCGGAAACCCGGATGTAATTATTATCACAGAGACATGGCTCACACCCGATGTCACAGACAACGAAGTTAACCTGCCAAACTTCGAAGTGCACAGGGTAGACCGACTAAACCGCAAAGGAGGGGGCGTAGTCATCTACCTCAAGAAAGGCTTAACCGTGCGTAGTATCGAAGCACTCGCCCACGAAAGTGAGTCGTGCGAACTTCTACGCTGCAGACTTAAATGCATAGGCCAAGACATTGACCTCATTGCTGTGTACCGCAGTCCTGACTGCAGTGCAGACGACTTCCTAATAGGGAAGCTAGGCTCCTGGACTTCAAAATGTCGAAGTCTCGTAGTCGGTGACTTCAACGCCCCAACAGTTGACTGGTCGAGCCTAACAACTCCATCTTCAGTCAACTCCTTTGACCACAAACTGCTAGAATCTAGTATATCGCTAGCCCTAGTCCAACATATCATTAAGCCCACGCGCTATGACTCACAGTACTCCTCATCAACTCTGGACCTAGTGTTCTCACACGGTGAGGATGTGGATCTCATACAACACCTTCCTCCGTTAGGAAGAAGTGACCATGCTGTGCTCACCTTCAAGTTCACAGCAACGGCAGCAAGGGCCAAAACCCCAGCTCGACCAAACGTTTGGAAAGCTGACATAAATGCGATCGTCTCAGCAGCCAACTCAGTAAACTGGTACATCAATCCAGAGTCCCAAGTAGAAGCCGCATGGAACCAATTTAAGCAACTTTACGCCCAAGTAACTGTACCCTTCATCCCTTGGTCTGTTCCAAAGGGTCGGAAACATTCCCCCCCTTGGATAAACCGGGAGATTCGTAAGTTACTCAGACGTAAACGCAAATGTTGGAACCTGTTTGCAACACTTGAGACTTCTGAGACCAGGGAATTATATACTACTGCTAGAAATAAAGCTATCGCAGAAATCCGCCAATCAAGGATGAAGTTCGAGACACACCTGGCCCAAAATGCAAAGGCACAACCTAAGAAAATTTTCTCGTACTTGAATTTCAGGAATAAAACACCCAATGGTGTCCCAAACCTGATTATTGACAAAGATACAATCGAAGAAGATCAAGAAAAAGCAGAAGCAATGGCAAACTACTTCTCCCAAGTCTTCACTCAGGAGTCATCACTGCCTATAGGATCAGCTCTGGCTGCATCAGAAGAACATGGGATAGATTCCGTTGACATCGACCAAGGCATCGTGCTCAACTTCTTAATGAAACTAGATGCAGGAAAATCAATGGGTCCTGACAGTCTTCATCCAAGGCTTCTCAAGGAGCTATCAGCCCACATAGCCGGCCCCTTGACCACGATCTTCAAGCTATCTCTCCAAAATGGAGTGTTGCCACGTGATTGGAAAGACGCCATAGTAACTCCCATACACAAAGGAGGATCAAGACAAAGCCCTTCAAATTACAGGCCTATCAGTCTCACCAGCACTTTAATCAAGACACTGGAAAGAATTATCAAGAAAAGCATCATGGCTTATCTGGAAAATAGCAGCTTGTTATCTGGAGCACAGCATGGCTTCCGGAGGAACCTCTCATGCCTGTCAAATCTCCTGACTGCAAGAGAAAGCTGGGTTAAATCAAAGGATGACAGAAGACCCGTTGACGTCGTCTTCATAGACTTCAGTAAAGCCTTTGATAAAGTACCTCACAAAAGACTACTCATGAAATTGGAAAGTCTTGGTATCAAAGGCAGACTACTAGACTGGCTTAGGGAATTCCTCATAGATAGGAGGCAGAGGGTTAGGATCAACTCAAAACTCTCCTCCTGGACAGCAGTAAGTAGCGGAGTGCCACAAGGCACGGTTCTCGGTCCTCTCCTTTTTATTCTGTATATCAATGAGTTACCTCTGCTGACCGACTCCCCTATGGTCCTATACGCAGATGACTTAAAAATTTGGAGGGAGCTGAAGGGCAACAGTGATACGTCCACCTTGCAAGACGACCTCAACAAACTGTCGGAGTGGTCTGTTGAATGGATGCTCCCGATCAACGTGGCAAAATGTGCAACCATGCGCATTGGACAAGCAAGCACGAGCTCCTACGAACTAGAGGGAATAACACTTCCATCAGTTCAGACTCACTTGGACTTAGGTGTCATAGTTAGCCACGACTTAAAAACTACAGCACACTGTCGCGCGGTGGCTGCACGTAGTTTCAGGTCCTTATGGGCGATTCGCAGAGCCTTTACAAGAATTACCAGAGATATGTTCACCTCCTTATACACATCTCTGGTTAGGTCAAGACTGGAAAACTGCATCCAGGCCGCCAGTCCGTGTCTAAAAGGGGATTCATACATTCTAGAAAGTGTTCAAAGGAAGGCAACACGTATGGTTCACGGCATAGCTAACTTATCATATGAGGAAAGACTAGATAGTTTAAATCTCTTCTCACTGTCATACCGTAGGCAGAGAGGAGATTTAATCACAATGTTTAAAATTTTAAATAATGACTACGGACCTGACCTATTCTCTCTTTTCCTTCCCACCAGGTCGGAACACCTTAGAGGACATAGCAGGAGAGTTCAAAAGCCAAGGAGAAATCATATTGCTGTTGAGTACTGGTTCTCACATCGAGTCATAAACTCTTGGAACCGACTCCCAGAAGAAGTGGTATCTGCAACCTCAATTGATTCGTTCAAGAAGGGTTTGGACAACCACAGAAATCTACTAGAAAAGGATTAACATAGGCTGCAAGCCTTCTATCCTCAAACAAAAAATCTGAATCTGAATCTGAAATCGATGACGTGCGCGTTTCCATTGTCAAGGTCGCGGCGTTCACGTGTTGCTTTATAAAGATGGTTAGGAAATGCTTAAGTAGGTGTAGTTTCAGTTTACACAACTTTATGCTTAGAACACAAAAGTAAGAGAGTCACTTGCCACAAGAAATACAAGATTATTAAGAAGGTAAATTCAAAAATATATATGAGATAGCTGCCTAGGTGAAAGAACACCATCGGAAACTACGCAAGGAAGCGAAAAAAAACTTGAACAGACAGAGTAGTAAGTGCAGTAGTAATTCCTGTTTACAAACAAATAGAAAAAGATCCCGGCATTCCGAATATACTGCCATTCAAAGAGAGCATACTGAAGCATGTTGAAGAAACCAAGAATAAAGTAACTCATAATACTCTTTTAATCGGCTTAGTTAGAAGAGGCGAAACTTAGGAATTTCGAATACTTGAAAAAACAAAATCTCCGTGAAAAGGATGTTGTTAATATGTCGGACACAGTAATCCAACTTGATGTTAAGGACGTTATTAACCAATCCGACGTTGTTCTTGAAGTCTTAGATGCTCGTGATCCTATGGGCACTAGATGTTTAGAGATAGAGAAGATGGTTGCGAATGAAAACAAGCGTCTTGTACTACTTGTCAACAAAATAGGTATGTCCTGTCTATTTTTATATGTTCAGATCTTGTTCCCCGGCCCAATCTTGATGCCTGGTTAAATTATCTGCGACGTTCTCATACAGTTATACCATTTAAAGCCAATATACAACGTCAGAGTAACAATTTATCCTCTGGAAGGCCTTATGTTGACAAGCATGGGAAGATGTAGGTTTCAAAATGGTTTCTAATTTTTTAGGCCCTCCAAAGGCTATGGAACTTCTGACTTACTGTCTTTGCTTGCAAACTACTCACGAGATCCAAGTTCTGAACTGTCTGACAAAGAGAGTCGGCTGAGTTTGACAGTCGGAGTTGTTGGTTTACCTAATACGGGCAAAAGTGCTCTCATAAATACACTAAAGCGGCAAAAAGTGTGTGTTAGTGGTAACGTTCCTGGTCTAACTCGGTAGCTGTCATAATTTTAGTTATTGTCATTTTAGCCACTCACAGCGTGTCAGAATTGATAAAAACCTCTACCTACTTGATACTCCAGGAACTTTGGTTTCGAAAACGTCTGATACTTCAGATCTTGTTTTGAAAAATTGTGTTAAGGTAAATACTTTTCTTAGTTATGTTTTTAAGTTTAAATGATATTGTATGTCGCTGAGTTTTTTTGTGTTCACATAACATTTGTTTTTCATGTTTCCATGGATATCAACTGCAAAGTCCACTACAGTATGCTGGTTAACCCCCTAGGTTTTCAACTAATTTTACGAGTTGACTCTTAGCCCATTATTGGTAAATCATTTTTCCAAGTACTTTGCAAAGTCTGCATAGTATGACAGCATATATTTTTGGTGCTATATCCTTGATAACTTCCACATTTGTGCACACCCTCTTCAACGGTGAACTCAATGATAATTTCATCTTTAGGTGATCAAACACAGTCTTCTACAGATTCTTAGGTAACTCAGTTTCATGATTAGCATCGATATGAAGTAGAAGTCAGGAGTAAGTTGTCTAAATCTAGGGAAATATAGAGTTAGAGTTCCTCTTCATTATGTGTACTGATATCCACCAACCAGTCAAATATGCTTACCCGGTTATACCAGGTAAACTTTTCAAAACTGATTTTCCCAGCGTTACAGATATCCTATTAGATTTGCTGGTCAGCATGTGATCTATTTTGCACAGATTGTGTCACTGTTACTAGTGGGTTACGTGAGGTGAGATAACTTGGTGTTGTTATGTGCTACTTATATCTCACTTTTGCATTATGACAATCTCGTATTAAGGGCCTCCAGTTACTTAGTTCTGCGTGTGAACGCCCTTTATACTCGCATTTACTGTCCACCACATTGCAAGAAACTCGTAGAAATCCGGTATACTTTAGCAGTGTTTTATAATGCTCGTGCAGTATAACTGGTCATTTTCATGGCATTTTATAGGCATTCATCTTACTTTCTGAAAAATGATAATATAATTTTGATTGGAGATAGGTTAGTTATTCTTCGATTGTAAATGTTACAGATTCAGCTGCGTTATACTGTTAAAAAAGATGACGATTTTGGTGATTACCAAAACGTAGTACAAGGTAATACACCAAAGCATTTTAGCGAGCTGGATTCCTGTGTACACCCATGTCATTGGTAGCTGATGACAGTGTGGTCTATCCGAGGCTATGCTTGGATTGCAGAGGGATGACTCCAGGCTGTCCGATGGGGATCCATAGACGGAGGTGTTTCTCACTAAAGCGAGAGGGCAAAAGCGGATGCCCGGCGCTCTCCACCGGGTTGACTGTCCATTGGATGACAGTCTAGGGGAGATGGCTAAACCCTGATTCCAAACCTTCAACGACTGGCGTATGAAGCTCACCGGAGCTCACCGGCAGACGTATGGACAAAGGGCTTGTTGGATGTCCTGGATGTCTGGCCCCATTCAAAAAGGCGTATGAACCGAACTCCGGTCACCGGCTGCCAATGGATATTGGGCTCCCTACTCCACTCCTACTGCCTTGTAGGTCACACTTGGTTGTGTAAAGGCTAGAGCTGCACTCTCAAACAAAAGGCCGAGCGATGCTGGGGACATCACTCGTACCAAATTCCCATGAAACTTCATGAACTCTCTTACAAATTGCCGCGCCTGGGCAGCGATGATTCGAGACGTTCATGAAGCCGGCTCTTCCTCCCGTAGGAGATAGCCGAAGTAAAGTAAAGAAGTAAGTATAGACGGAGGGTTGTTAGTGCTAGATTGTTATAGGATGTTTTGTATTCCACTCTACATGAAAACACGATCATCAAAAGCAGTGTGAGGCAACTGTTTATGCAGTATAGAAGTAAAGAATAAGGTCTCAGGAAAGTCTGCAAAATAATGCACTTCTGTTTCAGGGTGGTTGGGATGTAAGTTATGCATGTCTGAACACCGCGTGCAACAGTATACTGTTAGTAGTAATGAGACATGTCTGCCTGTGCAGCGTAGTTCGGTTTAGATTACTTGACTGGGCTCCTCCTGATACCTAAAGCCCACTGTTTTACTGACACAAATCAGTAAAGACACTTTGCACAGAAGTTGTTATGCGTCAGAAAGCATACGTGAAAGAGAACGTCAAATGTTGCAAACCTTTGAATTCTATGGTTCAGTAGATTTGGTACCCACTGGGTGGTGGTAGGTGCAAACCTCATCCACCTACCTGGGTTAGGTCATCGACGTAATATTATACAGTGGGTGTTGCTGGTAAATGCAAGTAGTTGCTGAGAAAAGACGTCCACCAAGAGCCAGTGAACAACAAGCATAGTACCTCATTACACAGATCGCCATATATTAATTGCTGAACATTATAAAATATTAATGTTAAGTGAATAAACTGGTCAATTTTTCTGTACCACTTTTTGCATATACATTAATTTGGTAGCACTGAGTGAACTGAAGCGTACGTTTGTTTGTCCCCCATCTTAAATCCATGGAGTACCTGATTTTGGTTTTTCTGAGAAGACATTTCTAATAGTAACTGTCTTCATATTTATTTATTATTATTTTTTAATAGCCTGAACTACTTCCTGATCCTGTCCCAGCTGTCGAAGCGATATTACGTCGTTGTTCAAAAGACCAACTGATGTCTAAATATAATATTGAGGATTATGGTGATGTTTCCGATTTTCTAGTAAAGTTAGCACGCCGTATGGGTCGGATGAAAAAAGGTGGTGTTCCGGATATTGTTATGAGTGCACGTGGTTTAATCAATGATTGGATTACGTAAGTCAATCTATTTCCTGATAGTTTTGTTTGTTTTTCCAGTGGAAAGGTCACTTACTACACGGAGCCTCCATGTGAAGACAATGCGGTCGAAAGTAATTCTGACTTATTATCTAAATGTAAGTTAAGTATATATTTTTTTATTTCTACTTTTTTTTGATTACAGCTTGATTACACACTGTATTTTTGGTACAAGTATGGAAATTTCAGCATGGATATCGGTAGCCCAAATTTTGCAGGCCGACCATAGATATCGGGTGTGCGTCGGCAGGGGGGCGAACCTCGGACCATGTGCATGGTCGGCGAGAGTCCTAATCACTGTGCCATCGACGCACACATATGAGACATTGATTAACTGTTTTGTTTCTGGTGAGGCTTATATAATACCGTGTAATGCGTTTAGAAACTTTTGACAAATGGAGACCTAACGGGTTGTATTACCCAAACTTGATTGATGCATTCTGTAATTGTGCATGTAAACACTAGTTTCGCGACTTGCTTTCCCTTTTTTTATCTAACTAACTTAGTTTTGAAACGGTTCTTATGGTCATTCCAGTGATTTAAAGCAATAAGTTCCCTTTATGAATTTCGACAAGACAATAAGAAGACGTAGTTTATCTGAAACGTGTAATGTATTGGCCCAACACATTTCGGACATTCTGATCACACACGTACTTCTCATACACCGACCATACACATGGTCCGAGGTCCGATTCCCTGCCGGCGCACACCTGATATCCATGGTCGGCCTGCAAAATTTGGGCTACCGATATCCATGCTGAAAATTCCATACTTGTACCGAAAATACTGTGTGGAATCAAGCTGTAATAAAAAAATACAGTTTTTAGAGAATGCAAAAAGGCATCAGTAATTACAATGCAGGCCAGATTGCGCACAGGTCAAGGTCACAAATAATGGGTAGGAAGACGCAAAAGGTGTGGGTAAGAAAGAGAAAAAAATAAAAAAACAAGGCAAAGAAGAGGTTGAAAATATTATGAAGCAAATTGGTTCTTGGTTCTAAATTGGATTTCCAAGGCAGGTTTAAGTCTTTTTATGGCTAAGGCTTCAACAAATTTAAGTATGTGATCCAACATTGTTTTATATATCGGCCTAAAGGCATTGTTGAAATCAACCTTATGACCCGTCTCTATACCATGCTTCGCTATAGATGATGTTGGACATCTATTTCTGAGGTAAGTTGTGTCTGGCGATTTCATTTGTTGTTTCAGCCACTTTGGAATGTGTTCTGTAGCCCTAACCTGCAGAGACCGATGGGTCCTTCCTATGTACGTGTCTCCACATATACATGTAAATTGATAAACACAGTGGGATGTGACACTATCGTTCGGATAATGTGAGGGTTTTCGGGACAGCATAGTTCTCGTTTTCTTTATGGAGATAAGTTTAGCTGCATAATAGGTTCTATCAGTTGTGGCCTTGAGTCTTTGTCTAGTGATTAGACTTTGTTGATCACATCTGAACGGCAACGATATGTAAACATCCTTTCTGGGAGCTGATTGGATTGGTAAAGCTCTTCCGTAACAACTTATAAATCTCAGTGGGTAATTGTTATCTAACAATATTTCAGTGAGGTGTTGTCTTTCTTCTTCAATTGCATCAGCAGTTCATATACGGTGAATGCGCTTGAACAAGCATTTAACCAACGCCTTTTTATACTGTAGTGGACAGAAAGTATGATAATTTAGATACTGTCCCGTCCATGTGGACTTTCTGTGGACAGATCGTTTTATTGACCCATCTTCTCGGCGGGTTATGAGTGAGTACATCCGAAAATTGCAGGCATCCAGGGTCCAGTTTACTTCATAATATTTTCAACCTCTTCTTTGCCTTGTTTTTTATCTTTTATTCTTTCTTACCCACACCTTTTGCTTTTCCCTACCCATTATTTGTGACCTTGACCTGTACACAATCTGGCCTGTATTGTAATTATTGATGCCTTCTTGCATTCTATAAAAACTGTGTATGACAAGTACTCGTGTGTGATCAGAATGTCCGAGATGTGTTGGGCAAATACATTACACGTTTCAGGTAAACTACGTCATTCCAGTGATGATAAGAGCTTCACAACTAATTAAACATCTTTTACCTTTTTTCATCGCCAAAGTACATATTTGCAGTTTCATCACTTGATTACTTCAATGAAAGCCCTTAAATCTCCTTCATTATGATTATGCGATTTTCATTACTTTTAACAAGTCTATAAGCTTCAAGAAACATTTCAAAATTCTCTTAGTGTAATGACTCATAACTTGATATCCATCCTTATACAAAATCCGATTTAAATGGGTCTTGATTGCTTGTTTTTGAATTCTTATACTGAATCTTACCAGTATTAGTCACAATAATAAGTAGGCCATTTCTCATCAAGTACAATCGATTCTAGTAAAACTACTTGTCCAATTGCTCCTAATGTTCAAATATAATAACTAATCTTTAGTTCCAAGGTAGCAAGTTCAATGTCAATGTCCAAATTCCAAGAAAATAAATAAGAAGTGTATGTGTTGAGTACTAGTAATGGACCCACACAAAAAACTTGGAGGATCTGGACTTCGCCGATGTTATATATGTCTGATTTTCACAAACTGGAAGATATGCAAGTGAAAAGCAACAAGTTGGCAGGAGAAGCATCAAGGATAGTACTTCACTTCAATTGAACATAGAGTAAACGGAGGTGATGAAGATTCCTGACCAACACCAACAGCAACAACAACAACAACAGACAACAATCAGCCAGCATAAATGGGAGGAACCTGAAAGAAATAACCTCCTTCACTTACTTACCCACCTACCTGGGAAGCACCGTTTCAACTACAGGCGGACGGAACTGACGAGGACACCAGAGCAGTGAGGATCGGGAAAGCAAGACAAACTTTCATTACTCTCAAGTCTGTGTGCAGGAGGTCAACAGCCCCGCTCAACATTCAACATGAAAATGAAAATAAGATCCGGATTTACAACTCCAACGAGAAGTCGGTCAGTGTTACTTACCATACGTACGGATCAGAGACTTAGCCAGCGCGTCATGAGGAGCACCTTAAACAAACTACAGATCTTCATTAACAGCTAGCTGTCTTCGCTCAAGATCAGATGGCCGGCCAGGTGGTCAGAAAAGATCAGCAGCAGGGAGGGATCTCTGGCAATGAGCGAACCAACCCAACAGGAACCGATTGTGCAACAAGTAGGTAGGAAGAAATGGGGATAGGTGGATTGGCTGGCCATACTCTGAGGGAACCATCAAGTGGGATCACACGCAATGCAGGCCATCACTCGAGTGGAACCCGACTGAATGGGAAGCGGCGTATCAGTTGGTCGTCAGTGCGAGAGTGGGGTGACATGGAGGAGGTGATGTGAAGATGAGATGATAGCATGTGGTCAGACGTGGGGCCACGTGAAAACGTTGGTAGAGAACCGAACGCATCAGAGACGCGCGGCTGAAGCCCTATGTTCCTCTAGGAATTAAAATAAATAATAATAATGAAATAATAATAGTAATCAAATAAAATCTGTCCAGTTGTGCAACTATTCTATGTTATCCATCTTATAAGTACGTCCAATTCAACGGCCAAATATATGAGCAATAAAAGTTTGCTTGGTACGGTCGAACTAAAATCGGTACTCTGTCAGATTGATTTCAGGCGTTTGAATATCTGCTACCGAGTTCTAGGTTTTAAATAGGTATCCCAAACAGTATTGTAAGCCCTTTAAAAAAAATCTGACTGTGCAGAAGAAAACAACAACTAGGTAATTATGTATGGTACAATATATCGGTATCTCTTATGGAAAAAAATTCTTAACAATCTGGATTTATAACCGTTGGTTATCGTTTTAATTCTACCTAAAATGTTAAAGTCTAGGCTTTTGTTTTCAATTCTAGTTATCTATCTATCAACCATTGTTCGCAATTTTTTTTATTAAATCAAAATACTTCGCCACTATGAAGTGATCATATTTCTAGACATCGACCAGAAACGTAATGTTGACTAACTAGGCCTGCGAATGTCCTAGATTCAATCGAATTGTAGACTTTAGTGTGTTACAAATCTGCTTAGCTCTATAGTTGCATGAAAACTTTATTGATATTCATCAAAGGTAAAAAAAAAAATCAAAACCGTACTGAAGGGGTTAGACTCAAAGACCACAAAAACTTGGTACAATAAGTATTTAAATGTGTCGCAGTGTAAAAATGAGATTTTCAAGTTGATTTGTATTTCCCTTTGACTCGGCTGTAATGCTCGGTCTTTGTTGACATATAGAAAATCAAAACAAGTGATTCAGCGGAGAGACTCTTTTGAACGAATTTATCATCAAGCTATACAATCGTATATATATTTGGTTTTTAAGAAGTTATATCCGGTGATGGAATTAAATCATAGGTGTGAATGCATAAAATAATAGTAACTAGTATGAATTGCAATTAAAAACTAAAAAGTTTGTGATTATACTCATAGTTAAATATCAAGTGGTAAAGCAAATTAATGTCATAATACATAGAATAATTCATAGGATGGATAGAACTTGGAAAGGGGTGCGCAATTATAGGATTAGTAGACAAATCGAATAAAATAAAAATAAAAACGTTATGTGGTATTGTGTGAAATTCGATAGCATAGAATTTAACGTTGTAAAAAAGAATTGATTTAGAGTGACAAGTGGAACAAGTGAAATGATACCGGGGACAGCTCGAAGTGAAAGTGGTAATAGTAACAATTGACGTAATAAGGAAGAGTATACAAATTGAATAGACAAAATGAAAAATTGGTAGAGCTAAAATATGATTGAGGATTACCATACTTTAGCATAGAGGGATTAAGACCATGAAAGTTGGAGGGGTTGAACGAACTTTTTCTGTACACAGAGATCTGGCTTTTCTGTTTCGATAGCCAAAGCTTCAGCAATACAGATGAGTCGGGTACGTAGGGATTTGGCTAAATTGCTCTTTGCCGTGTAGATGACTTTGAAGGCGGAGGCTATAGAGATCGGGTGATCATTATCGACCAGATGTTCAATGATCGCGCTTCTTATTGCTCCACTTCCACCTTTTCGTAGCCACGCAGGATAGTGTTCTTGCACCCTCTTGGACAAAGCTCGAGTCGAACAACCGATATACCTAACTCCACAAGAGCAGGTGAATTGATAAACACACAAAGAGTTGGTCAACAGCGGGATCTTGTCCTTCAGGTTATTGAACAGTAATGGTCGGCTAGTAAAGGCTATTCTCAGAGATGCAGCAGGGAATGTTCTTTTCAGGGACTGTGTTATCCTTCGTTTCATGATATTTCATAACATTAATTTGCTTTTCCCCTTGACATTTAACTATGAGTATAATCACAAACATTTTAGTTTTAATTGCATTTCATACTACTACTGTTATTATTATTTTATGCATTCACACCCAAGATTCAATTCCCTCACCGGACGTAACTTCTTACAAACCATATATATACGGTTGTATAGCTTGATGATAAATTCGTTGAAAAGAGTCTCTTCGCTGAATCACTTGTTTTTATTTTCCATATGTTACAATGGGAATTTTCCATGAATTTGTTGACATATTGACTACCAGTATGGACGTACCAACTGTGTAAGGATTAACATGGTATTGTTTGGTTGATTGATAGCGACTAGCAACCAAAATTTAAGATGCACATTTTGTCTCATTGCGATTCGTCAGCATCCTGAATGAGCAGTGGTATTCTTGCTGGGAATGTAGATACATCCGACTGAAGAGTCCTAAGTAGGACGAAATGCGTATCTTGGATTCTACCGGCAGTCGTCATGATATTTTTTTGTGACTACTTCCGAAAGTGCGGTGGTGTCCTGATGTTTGGTTTGTTTATTAAGGTGAGGTGTTTATTTTAAATTAACAAGTTCTCAGTATTAAATACTTAAGACAGTTTTTTTTTAAAAATGCTTTCAGGCCAGCCAATGGAAGTTACCGACGTATAAATTAATCAATAAACCAGTATATTTGTGAATGTAAATAAAAGCCTAAAAATGACTATATTGTTTGTCTCGTTACTTTTTTTCGAAAAAGGATGTATTTTAGAATTTGTATTCAGAGATTGTGAAAATTGTTTGTGGCGCAAATATAATACAACCATAAATATATTCCAAGTCCTGATTAGTTTCAACAGAGAATTTTGCACAGATGTGTAGCACACAAAGTAAGAGAAGTAAGACAATTAACGTTACTGTTAGGCGAAAAGAATGGTAATATGGAAGAACAGTAGAGTTTTATTGGATATCATAAATTACAAAGAACGAATGTATCTGCGTCAGCCATCATCAAGGACGATTTTGATCCATTTCATCAATTGTCTCTAGCCTTCATTGGTTCTTAGCATATCGAAGAGCCCAACCTTCGACTTCCCCTTCTTACCTAATACTTGACACCAAACCTCAATATTACTCATCCTATCGTACCCCACCTAACATGGGAGTTAGAACGCGGGCACCTATGATCAAAGAATAGCTAGTCTTTCTTCCACTTTCAATGAACATGTCTCACAACCATAAAGGAAGACAGAGCGAAATGCTGAGCACAGTACACGTGTCCCTTAGTCGATAGCCAGCGGGATATCACGTCTACTAAGCTAGAGATGGTGTAAGTTGGCATATGCCCAACGAGCTTTCTGTACCCGGGCTGAAATTTCGTTAGCAATCGAGCTCATGCTTTCTTGTCTAATGCGCATGGTTGCACATTTTGCCAAATTTATCGGGAGCATACATTCTATGGACCACTCTGAAAATTTGTTGAGGTCCTCTTGCAACATGGACGTATCACTGTTGTTGCCCTTCTGCTCTCTCCAATTTTTTAAGTCATCTGCGTATAGTACCATAGGGGAGTCGGTGAGCAGAGATAACTCATTGATATACAAAATAAATAGGAGAGTTCCGAGTACCGTACCTTGTGGCACTCCGCTACGTACTTCTGTCCAAGAGAAGAGTTTTGAGTTGATCCTAATCCTCTACCTTCTATCTATGAGGAATTCCCTGAGCCAGTTTAGTAATCTGCCTTTGATACCAAGACTTTCCAACTTCATGAATAGTCTTTTGTGAGATGCTTTATCAAAGGCTTTGTTGAAGTCTATGAAGACGACGTCAACGGGTCTTCTGTTGTCCTTTGATTTGACCCAGCTTTCTCTTGCAGTGAGGAGATTTAACAGGCATGAGAGGTTCCTTCGGAGGCCATGCTGTGCTCTAGATAACAAGCTGATGTTTTCCAGATATGCCATGATGCTTCTTTCCAGTGTCTTGATTAAAGTGTTGGTGAGACTAATAAGCCTGTAATTTGAAGGGCTTTGTCTTGATTCTCCTTTGTGGATGGGGTTACTATGGCGTCTTTCCAGCCACGCGGTAACACTCCATTTAGGAGAGATAGCTTGAAGATCGTGGTCAAGGGGCCAGCTATGTGGGCTGATAGCCGCTTGAGAAGCCTTGGATGAAGATTATAAGGACCCATTGCATTCCCTGTATCTAGTTTCACTAGGCAGTTGAGCACGATGCCTTGGTCGATGTCAACGGAATCTCTTCATATTTTCCACCTTCAAAGTACATGTTTCAACTACGAAGTAGAATGTAGCGGAGTGCTACGCGGTACACACGTTGGGTAGTCTTTAACTGGATATCACGCCTGTGACTCAGCACATCTTCACTTCACTGTGTTTTTTGCAGTCGTCTTTAGCTGGCTGTATGATCACCCATAGGCTCTCATTTCTTCCTCAAACAATTTTCTCCAGGGCCAACGCCCAACTGGTCGTTTCCCACTCTAGTCTCCTCAGCGTGTGTCCTATCCATCTGCATTTTATTCGGAATATTTATTAGGCAATAGGTTCTTGGTTGATTCATTGTATGCCGTAGTTCGTGGTTGGCTGTACGACCTTAATCATAGAGCCAGTTGATCGTAAAAGTTTGCAGTTGAAAATGCTTTTGGCGATACAAGCGGCAAGTGTCTGAACCATATGGAAGCACTGACTAACTCGACATTAGTGTCGAAAATTCGAATCTTGTTCTTTATGCTGATTGACGTAGATTTCTACACTGATTTCAGAGTAATGAAGAGTTGTCTTGCTTTCCCTACCCTGCCTTGGACAACATCTGTGCCGCCTGTAGTTTAATCGATGCTACCTAGACAAGTGAAATGTGCGAGTTTCTTCAGATTCCTTCCCTTGGTGATTGTTATTGGTTAGTCATCTTTCTCACTCTTATCTCCACTTGAAGTCCTGTCTTTGCTGCTTGATTTTTCTGCCAGCTTGTTGGTTTTCGTCTGTAAGCCTTCGAGTTTGTATAACATTTAATGTAAACCCTTCGTGAACTCCATATCTTCTAGGATTTGTTTACAGGATTTCATTATGAGCTGATATTGGTTAGAGAACCATTGGAAAACCAACGCGGATTAATGGACAGCTGTTTCGTCCCAGCTTGGGACTCTTCAATAGTACGCACCCACCGCCAGTGTTCGAACCCAGGACCCTCTGGTTACAAGGCAAGCTCGTAGACCATTGAGCCACTGGGATCCGATCCAATGGCCAGTCCATGAATTCTAACTTCTGCCAATTCACCATATAGCGCGACCCCTAGCCAATGTCTTGGGCGAGTATTTGTCCTCACACATGACTGGTCACGACTTCTCACTAGAACCTCAGGTAACTACCTACCTGAATAGGGCAAGTCACTAGTGAGCATCTCATTGATATTCAAGTGTTGGTTTGTAGGGATTTGATTGGTTACAGCATTTCATCATGAGCTGACATTAGTTAGAGAACCATTGGAAAACTCAGGAGTACTGGATTTCTAGGATTTTCCGTCGACGCAACATATCCCTGTCTTCTCGCTCCCCACGACGTGTCGCATGATCCATTCCATCACTATTAGGAATATCATCGGGGAATAGTAGGCATACTTGTCTTCACTTCAAAGGCATCCCTGTTTTCCATTGTGAATCACTTGACATGTGGCATCGTCATATGGCTGTTGAATGGGAATGTTAAATGTTTGGCTTACTCTGGAGTGCTGAAGTAGTTCCCAAATCATTTCACATTCAACGCTCTCGAACGTACGATAGAGATACGCAGGTTAACATTAAAGGGTGATGGCAAATTATTGAAGTTCCCGACGCATTAAAACTTGATCTTTAAATGAGTAGTTAGTGTAAACTAGTTTTGTATTTTTTACTGGAGAAATGGCGTGTCAAACATTCGGATTGTTACTGAAGGAATTTTTAACACTTAATCACCTTCACCTACATCATCTGTGTGTACTCTAGGTCAACGAGACCTTTTCCTGGTATTATATTATGTTAGTCCTATGAAACATTGTGATCAGTCGTCCTACTAGACGGGCTTCATACCACAAGACAACTGTCTTTAGACACTAACACCGCTGCGCTAATTAGTACTTTTTCTTGGCACACTACACAGCCAGATGTTGCCACAATATCTTTAGATTAGTAGTCATATGCCCTCTTCTAGTGAAGAAATGCTAGACGGCGCTTGCAGTTTTTGAAAGACTGAACCTAAGATGTTGTTGGTCAAGCTGATGCCTATAGTTGTTACCAGATACTCCTTTTCTTACAATCTGGAGTGATTAACGACACCTACACCATCCCAAATGAACCGTCTTGGGCTCCTAATCGTACGCCCCTTTAATCTAGGTAAATATTCATCTTCATCATTTTTACACCAATCACTAAACCATTGAAGGCGCATAAATCTGAGAAGAGTTCACTATTGTCGATGACCACTCCCTCGGTGTGCTCGTGCTTGTCCTCTGGGTGACCGGAATAGATTATTGTCTCTCCAGTTGGTAGTTGGCACCTTCAAAATCCGTTCCATCTGCTCTCGCAGATTCCCAACACTTCTATTCTATATCCTCTCATTTCTGCGGCTACCTGGGCAGCCTTTCCAGTTTCGTACATTGTACGAACATTCCACGTCCCCATCCTTATTTTTGCTTTCATGGAAAGAAGGCACATTGTCTGACTGGCTTCCCGAAGGCTTTCACCAGCCTGTGTCATTTCACTTCCCCGATTCCAGCGAAATATAAGATTATTGTTTATTCTTTTTAGAATTTTTAATGCATTTGTGCGTTGAAGTTTCTGTAGCGATTTGGTTAAGTTTTGGGGGTGGAGTTGCTAGCACCACGCCCCAACCCTCCCTCTTTATCCGGGCTTGGGATCGGCTAGAAAACTAGCGAGCTAGTAATCTAGGCGAGGAGGAGTTGAGACAGTATGAACTAACATGGATGCAGGTGAAAAGTACAGCAGAAGAAAGAAGCAAGTGGAGACGTGCAGTTGAAGCCCTATGTTCCACTAGGAACCCAAGGGAACAATAATAATAATCATTTTTACACAGTTTTGAAGTCATATCGAAATCTGCTTCTTTAGCGTTTTTGAGGTCAGAGAAACCTTCAGCAATGTTAGCTACCTTTGGATGGTAAACAAATTTAGGACGTTTGCACTGCCCCAAAGCATTCTAACCAGCCTTCTCCAGCTATTAATATGTCACCTGTCATGGATGCCAACCCACCGTTGATTTTTAGTTTATGGATATTATCCATTGTTGTTACTTACTCTTGACTTCAGATTAACACCAGTCTTCGCTGGTGTATTCATAGTAGAGAGGAGGAAAAACCATATAAAATGAAAGATAAAAGTGGTGCAAAAAGAACTAACTTCTTAATGAAGTCTGAATGCAGAGGTTGAATGTAATATATAAGCATAAATTCATATCCTGCAAAAGTGCTTCTGATATGTGGAAACTATTTAAGGAAATCACTGGTGGTAAGCAGATAAACAGTATTCCGTATTCTTTTGATGTATGTACTCTTAATAAATCTTTTATTTACTCTCCCTCAAATGCCATGCTTCCCAACATCACTTGTGTTAATAATAGCCCCTTTCCAGGTTTTAACACAAATGATGTTCAAAAGTGCCTCAAGTCTCTAAACCCTTCCCAGAGCTTAGGTCCAGATTATGTACCTAGTATTATTTTTTTTAAATGTTCTGATATTCTGTGTCACCCCCTCACTGATCTATTTAACAAATCTTTTTCCGATAATATTGTGCCTGCCGTTTGGAAGGACATTAAAGTTGTACCCATACCTAAATCATCTACTGGAGCATGTGTCAAATTTAGACCCATTGCTATTACCTCTCCTTTTTTGAAAACTATGGAGAAATTACTTTTACTTAGTCTTGTACCTTCGCTTAAATCCTTTAATGACCCTAAACAATTCGCCTATAAGCACAGTAGAAGCACTTTAGATGCAGCTGCCGTCTTATATCATAACATTGCTTCCAGTCTAGACAAGGGGGCTAAATTTGTTCGTTGTGCCTTCCTAGACTATACATCTGCTTTTGACTCGGTCCCTAGGGACATCTTACTAAATAAACTTGCAGCTAGTCAAACAGAATGTTGGGCTGTTAACTGGTTACATTCCTATTTCTCAGAAAGAAAGCAGTACACCGTGTATAAAGGGAAGTCTTCCACTTCATTGCCTACTGAAGCTGGTGTCCCTCAAGGCGCTGTCCTTTCTCCTCTTCTTTTTTCTTTCTTCTTACATGACTTGCCTCACTCTGATGAAATAAACTTTGTGAAGTACGCTGATGATTTAACGGTTTCAATGGCTGTTAACTCCCAGCTAGATTGTACCAAAATAAATAGCTTTCTGTCGGGAGTCAGCAAATGGTCTGAGTCTAACGGTCTTAAACTGAATCCTTCTAAATGTCAAACTGTTAATTTCAGCTTAAGATGTAAAAGACAGTTAAAAGAAGTCATCGATTCTCATGACAGTTGTAAAATTGACGACAATGATATAGGAATCAAATCAGAAATTAAGTATCTTGGACTTATTCTCTCTTCTGATCTCTCCTGGTCTTCCCATGTCTTAGCAATCTCCAGTAAAATATTCCGCCTGACATTTTACATTAAGAAGTTAAGACACTCGGGTATAACTCAATCCCTCATCTTACAGTTTGTCAACTCTTGCATCCTACCTATTCTTCTTTATTGTTCACCCTTATTCTTTCCTGGTTTGCTTAAAAAGACTATGTCACAATTCGTAGAATGCTGAAGACTGTCAGTAGGGTGAGTGGTGTCCCAGTGGACCACATAGTTAATGTTGTTATCGATAGGCACTTGACTTCGTGCAATAAATTTGCTAGAGGGATTTTGTCTGACTTGGAGCATCCACTTTACCCTCAGCTTTCATCTTGCATCTCCTCAGGTAGAACATGAAGTAACTTCAGAAAACTGTATGCTCGCACGTCTAAGTATAGAAATTCTATGATACAATACTTGACACGTATTTTATGTGATGAAAATAGTGTCAAGCAAGAATTAAGTAACCTTTTTTCATCTGGTAAATAAACAATATCCCCATCCATCCTTATATACCTTCAAGTTTTACTTTTATTATTTATACTATATTTATGGTCCTGTTGCTTCTTTGTTTTACTCTCATAATTGCAAACACCAACTTATCTCTATGACTGCTGTAATCTTTGTTTTTTCCCTAACCATATGATTTAAAGAGAACATTGTATTCAATATTTTCAAACATTCTAGGATTTCTATACCGAATCAGCAATACTGTGCGAAACAACCAAGCCCACGGAAATTTTCACTTGTATTATTATTACCTTAGGTGTTATCATTATTATTATTTCCATTTCATATGCTGGATGTTTTTGACATTATCCCTATTGTAAATGTGAAAAATGTTCTGTGTGATTAATGCTGAGAATTCCATTCTGTATCACAAGTACTGTTTTTGGAATAAAGTAAATCATTATTATTAGTAGTAGTAGTAGACTGAGAATATCCCAGACTTCTCAGAATGAGCATTGCCGTCACATGTTTGGTTATTTTTTCTCTCTAATATCAAAGTTGGCTGCGTGGGCTTAAGACTGACTAGGTGAAGAAATGATGTTATTTGTAAGATGAACGAAAGAAAATGCAGGGGGATGATGAGCGGAACGTTATAGGCTAACAAAAGTAATGTTGCTGTAGTTGCTGATTTGGGCTGCCTTGACTGAACACTGTCAGATTACGCTTTCACTTAATTTGATCTGCTGGGACTGTCTGTCTGTTTTTGACATAGAACTTTGCACATATGTGCGGCAGTTCAAGTCGCCACACTCCATGTAACACACAAAGAAAGGGAGGAAAGTAGAAGAAATGCATAATAGAGACTGTAAACAGAGGTGTGAGACAAAGGAATAGCAGTAACGAAGAACAATACAGTTTCATCGGAAATCATAAGTCACAGGGAGTCTATCTGCTGGGAAACATGTAGTTAGCACTATTAATATGACATAAGGACCTAGAATTAGTGCATGGTGGTTCAAGTTACTCCAATACATCTGCGCATCTACTGTAAGACATGAGAAAAGAATGGAAATAAAAACTAACTGTCAGGTGCACCAGCAATGGACTTACGTATTATCTACAGTTGTTTCACGGAAATTAAAACAAGTGTAATATTCTTCCTTACAGCTAAGAAGAATGCATTTTTATACAGTATTACAAGTGCATTGCATCCTAGTTCGAATTGATTTTCCTAGGCACACGAAGAAAGAGAAAGTAAAAGAAATGCATAATAGAGACAGTAAACAGAGGTGTGAGACAAAAGAATAGTAATAACGAAGAACAATACAGTTTTAATGGAAATTATAAGTCACAAGGAGCGGATGTACCTGCACCAGCCATTGAGAACGATTTTGAGCCATATCACCAATTGTCTCCAGCGTTCCTTGGTTCTTACCGTCCGAGGACCCCAACCAGTCAGGAAGTCTACACCTTCCTACGTGGCTGGCTTAAACTAACTGTTGTGGATTTCATTGACTGGTGAAGCTATGTTTCGGTTTGACCACCACTAGCTGTTTTCCAACCTGACCCCATGCCAGCTAACAATGCCTATTGTCGAGTAAGACGATGACTAGGCATACGTAACATATGTCCTAACCATTTCAGTCGATGTAGCTTAACAGCCTCGTCGATTGATTTCCCCTCCCACCTAACTAGCACTCGACACCTAACCTCAATATTGCTCACTCTGCTGTACCACATTAAACGGGAGATAGAGCGCAGGCACCTATGATCAAAGGCAGCTAATCTTTTCATGTCTTCCACTCTCAATGACCAGCCAGGTCTCACAGCCATAAAGGAAGACAAGGCGGAATACTGAGCACTACACTTGTCCCTTGGTCGATAGCCAGATATCACATCTACTAAGTCGGAGACGGCGTAAACTGGCATATGCGAAAGTAGCCCTCTGTATCCGTGATGAGATTTCGTCAGAGATCAACCCGTTGGTGTTGGCTGATGGTACTTCCCAAATAAGTGAAGCGGTCAACGTGCTCTACCACTTCGCTCCCTACTTCCAAACTAGGAGTCAGTGCATGCCAAATATCCGCAGATTGCAGCTCAAGGTGCAGTCTATCAACAGAGAGCTAATTAGTCAGGATGAAGAAAAAGGAAACAACATCTGATGTACTGTTTTTATTACAATAAAACTCAATATGCGAAAAAGTACCCCCAAAGAATGATATGAGTAACAGAAGATGGAGTTCAAACGACAGATCAAATTCAGGGAGCTTGGATTACGTATGCAACTCAGAAGGGTGAAGCTTTCGTGATTTGTTTAGAACAATGAAAGCTTGGCTCAGAAAAACAAACATCTGTCACAATTACAAATATTCTCTCATCGTTTACAACCCTAGACAAAATATAATGGATAACTGTGTAAACTTATTCGAAACTCACAAAACACAGAGGTTAGAGAAAAGTATATTAAGTAAGTTCATTTGAAATCATTTAGTCCAAGAAACTTTCTGTATATCAAAATGTTCAGTTAGTGTACTCAAGTAATTGTTAAATTCAATAATCCTTTGTTTATGTGATTTATCTGCCTTCGATAACACAGACTCGAGAATACGTTTATCTCTGCGTTTTTCCAATTCAATCTGTGATTTTGTTAAGCCGGTATGTATAGGTTTGAGTTTCTTTGCATCTTTTCCAGCCTCCTCAGTTGCGTTGGCTTCTGATGTTTCGACTGCCACATCGGGTTAGTTGAAGTTACCTTCTTGCTGTGCTTTTTCTTCTTTCTGAAAAAAATGTATGAAAAAAATACTGCTCGACCTACTTTTTTATTCCCTGTCCAGATTTCAGCTTCAGTGAACTACACAAAACTTCATCATACTCCGACATTTATGATATGATATCGGTTGATTGATTGGATAATTTGTTAAAATCCTGTTAAAACAACACGTAGAAAACATTCACAATAAACAAAATAAAAACTGATGATCGAATGCACATTAATATTCTCTAGTATTTATATGCCTAGCAGTTAGATGAGATATATTTAAAGAGCTCCATTTGATGGCTTTGCCACCATAAAAGTGTCCTACATAAAGCGAAGACAGGACTCCAAGTGAACATAGGCAGGATGGAGGTTATGAAAATAACCAACCAACAACAACATCCAGCGCCAATCACCATCACAACGGGAGCATTGTCTCAACTACAGGCAGTCGGAACGGACGAGGATCCCAAATCGAGCGAGAATCGGGAAGGCGAGGAACATACACATTCATCAACCAAATGAAACCAATCTGGAAATATATTCGTCACTCAGCCACATCAACAACGAAATTCAGTTGGATTTTCAATACAAACAACGTCAAGTCAGTCAGTTCTTCTGTACGGAACGGATGAGAAAGTTGGCGGGCGGGTCACAAGGAATATTTCCAACAGGCTACTGCAGACCAGACCTTTATCAACAACAACTGTCTTCGCTGGATCTATACTGAAGATCAGATGACCGGGCAGGAAAGAATCACCAACAAGAAACTATGGGAGCAAACCAACATGCAAAAACCAATCGCCCAACAAATATTCAGGAGAAAGTGGATTGAGATGGATTAGACACTGGCTGAGGAGGCCGCTGGGTGATATTGAGCGCGCGTCAGGCCATTTCTCGAGTGGAACCACGCCGAAAGGGAAGCGGTGAGTTGGACGTCAGTGCAAGGGTGACATGGAGGAGATCGTGTGAAGAGGAATTAAAACAGTACAGACTAACATGGATGCAGGTGAAAAGTACAGCAGAAGGAAGACAGAAGTGGCAAGTGGAAACGTGCAGTTGAAGCTTTATGTTCCACTAGGAACCCAAGGGAACAATAATAATAGTACATAAAGCGACACGCACTAAATGCTATTCAAGGAGGAAACAAATTACCTAAAATCAACACGGAAGGACTAACAGTAGCATAAATCAGCGCGTGCTAAGTTGTATGTCGTCTTATGACTAGTTGGTTAAGCACAAAAAGAGTTTGCGGAATTTCAATTCAGGAAATATTGGTTCACAGCTGACTACACGGGAAGTAAATAAGTCAAGTAGTAAAAACTAATGCAAAGAAAAAGACGGTAGATATTTCACAATATCTTGGTGTCATTACTGCCAACTTCGAGTTTTATCGAATTATTTTCGTTACCTTTCTCATAAACAATAAGTGTGATTGCAGTTACCGAACTGTGCTAATGGTTTCATAGTGCCATTTACATATGAATATATAGCTCAGTGCGATTAGTAATGTCTCCTGAGTTATTTTTACACAGAACTTCCAATTGTGATTTGTCCCAAGTATAGGTATTCTTAGTAAGAGAGTAGAATTTCTGCTTCAATCTGGGAGAAGGTGGACCACAAGCCATTTCCACCCACAAATTTCTGCATGAAAGGATTGAATTGCCGTAAAACTAGTTTCTTTTCATCTTTCAGATGCTGAATGTATAGCCCGAGTAGAAATCTCACTATGATTGTTCCCAGAAGAAAATTATGCATATCGCTATATAGTATTTAAGTCATGTAGAACTAATAATTGAGTGCTAGCCTTTGACGTATTGATTTCTCATATACTTTTATTTACCCATGTCATATAATGTACAGCTCTTTCATGAATTTTTTATGCCGTTTGAAGCAATGAACTAAGCCTAGCATATGAATACTGATTATTCTAACCGCTAAACATCAGTAGATGGGGGTGCGATCGTAAGTCTATTGTTTTCGACATAGAACTTTGCACCGATGTGCGGCAGTTCAAGTCGCCACACTCCATGTAGCACACAAAGCAAGAGAAGAAATGCATAGTAGAGACAGTAAACAGAGGTGTGAGATAAAAACGCCGATAGCTGCTACCTTGACGTGGTGGTCGGGCTTGCACATCGCAATGACCCAACAAGCTGCACTGGCTGGAACCAGTGTTCCTGCAGGTCCTACCATGCTAGGAAGGTTCTTATGATAGCGATTAGACTAAAAGCAGTTACCGGCTTAGTGTAAGAATCTTTCTTACACTATTCTGGGGGTCTGAGGGCGAAGTCGTACTGCTGGGGAACAGGGGTGTAACAGCAGTGAGGTGTTTCCTTCGGATGACCAACCAGCCAGCTATGCTGTCTCTCAACTCTGGAGGGAGGCGTTTAGAAAAGGTCGACCCCAAAAATTGTACATCCCGACTCACACTACGGTGGTTCGTAACCGGCCGGCCTCAAGCAGGTGTCGCCTGGGCTCTTTGGTCACGTAATACTAACCCTCTTTCTGTACCCGAAGAATCAACCAACTTCTACAGTGTTGGCAGCCGGGAAGTAACAACCGCCCACACACTTCCAAAAGCACACGAAGCTTTCCTGAGCAGCATTCTCTTGCGACCGTAAGACAGTTTCAGTTCTCTATACAATTTCTAGTAGGGGAGATGCAAAGGGAAGTTAGAATGGACAGATTTAAATCTGCTTCACCTCATCCATTTACGAAGGAGTCGGAAACGATGAATCTCTCAAAAATGGAAACCTCAACCCACCCTACAGTGACCTGTAGTTGAAGTTGAGAACTTCTACATGCACAATTGTCTTTCCATATAGCTTAAACCAAGGGGCACCGAGTGAAGTCATCTATTTTATTTTAGAGAAAGTTTGATTAAATATCTCGTAGTTACTTACTCAGGAACACTTTATGGTTTACATACCTTCTTGTGCAACAGATCTCTAAACTACCGTACCTAGATCTACGTAATATAACAGAAGCGTTTCCACATTGTACAGCTGTTTGACTCTTACAAGTTTCAAACCAGATACTTCTCAATGTTAACTGGTGTACTGCTGGGGTTCAGCCTTGGCCTATCGCTACCGCTTGCACTTGAAAATAATAATCGCTGCACATTTCTTGGTAATCGATTACAGTGTGAAGAAAACAAATGGGCTCACAGATATTTTCGTGAATATAGTCATAAATACGAATGGAATATCGACATTTCTTCTCAAGCAACATCGGAAAACTGAATTTAATTATACTTAGTCCATAAGAGACACGCTTGTATCACGATCGAGCTCGGAGAACTACTTCAGTGTCACGCTACAGTTTTACATGGTTTCCCGATAGTCCAGGACATATCTGTAATAAGCTTGCCTAACTCTTGCTTTTCAAAGGCTTGCTTCCTGATATTAAGAAACAGATGCAGGACTTCGTTAAAGATAGTAGGGGATCGAGGTAAGTACTTGTTGAGGTTTTGTTGAGCAACCGGGTATTAGTATGTTCTGCATGGGAGTTTGTAATACATTACATAGCTGTGTTGGAAGAGGTGGTCGTCGTATGACCAGGTTTATCCGGATTAGTTAAACTGGAAGATTTAGCAAGGATTAAAAAAGATGAGTTGATACCAGGTGGTAGCACGGAGGTGAGACTCAGGGTGAGCGGTAATACAGAACAGACAACAGTACAGAACGACTATAAAGGTGACAGTTGTAGTATCACTTAAGTAACTAAGACAGGTTTTAATGGATAGGCTCAATGTAGGCAACATCGTGCGGCAATTCAGTATTATCCTGAGGATTTTGACTGGGCAGGATAGTGTGAAATGCTTTTCACACTCGACGGACAAAAACGAATCTGTTTCAGCAAGATACCTACAATTTGATGAGTGACCTTAGCTGGGTTTTAAAACTCAGCTGATAGTTACCAATGGACTTCCGAACTACGGATATGAGTCTCCTAATATCTATTAATGCTATTAGTAACTATCTCAAAGTGTACTCCGAATATTTGAACATGGTGATGATACGGCCTTAAACACTCATACTGGAATATTAAGCATGCTTAAGCCATAGTATTCACACGCAATGCAATGTATTTACAAGCCTTCTGAACCATACAACTGTGGGATCAAACGAATGATTTGACATTTACGCGCAGAAAACTTTCTAGAATCACAAGAAACTTTTAGTTCATTATTTTTGGCCACAAACATTTTGCACTGCGCCCGAAATCATTGTTAGCTGGGTAAGCATTTAAAATTGTCAGTTGACTAAATCTTCTGGTGGTTTCGGGCATTTAAAGTGAGAAACCAAAGAAGAACCCTGGTCAACTGTAGGCGACAGTGTCGATTTCTTGAAATTATATCACTATAGTGACCAAGACCTCAAGCATTATAATGTCTGAAGTGTTCAAAGTCAGCTTAAATCCTAATTGGCTGCAGTCTCCGTCCAAGTAAACCTACTGAAGCATCTTGAAGATATAAAAGATTTGGAGTAATTCGTCGTCATAAAACTGAGTAAAGCGTACAATGAACACCAGCACACAAAATTGAGAAACGTCGACGTACCGACAGTTTTGAATAAATCCGCTCTACTTCAGATTTGTTGAATGAAGTTAGAAGGACAGAAGCCTGTGCTAGTCTTTTTCTAGTAAATTTCTGTGTTTGTCCAAGGCCTTCTTGAATTAATCAATTAAGATCGCTGACACAACTTTTTCTGGGAGTCGGTCCCAGGAGTTTATAACTCTGGATTGGAAGTACTCCAAAGCAATTTGGTATTTCTTTGTTTATGAACTCTCCGGCTACTTCCTTTAGGTTGTTCGGACCTGGAGAGGAGGGAAAAATAAAAAAGTCAGGTCCTGAGTCATTATTTAAAATCTTAAACGTTGTAATGAAATCTCCTCTCTACCTCGGTATGCTAGTGCGAAGTTCCAAGTACCGTGCCTCATGGCGTTCCACTACTCCGTTTCGAGTTGGTCATTACCCTCTGCCTCCTACCCATGAGGAATTCCCTAATACAGTTTAATAAGCTTCTTTTGATCCCAAGACCTTTCAACTTCGTTAGAAGTCTTTTGTGGGGTACTTTGTCGATAGCTTTGCGGAAGTCTATGAGGACGACATCGAGGGGTC